CAAAGACGTCCACGACTATGCCAGAAAATTTCGTCTCCAGGCTCGCTGACGCACGGCAACGTGCTCAACTCAACACGGAGGCTAGTCAACTTGACCGCAGGCAAAGATATGACAGCTTTCGTCGAGATGCCACCTTCCGTCCTGGAGATGAAGTACTACTTTGGACGCCTGTTCGTACACCCGGATTGTGTGAAAAGTTTCAGTCACGCTTTCTCGGACCTTACGTTGTTAGTGAACGAACATCTCCTGTCAATTACCTTGTCACTCCCGTCGAGGGCTCCTCGGACCGTCGGTACCGTGCATCCGAGCTAGTTCACGTTTCACGCCTTAAACCTTTTGTTCGCCGTACCTTTCCCGCCTAAGTCTCGCCCGGGTCGGCCGATCAAGTCCACGGGGAAAATAAGTGTGAGCATCATTACTTGTTCCATTCTTTCATCTGTACATACTCATCATCACCACTCCAGTTTAGGTCGTGGGGCACATACTCGAGACAATAAAGAAGAGTCTTGAGGGTACTGGACGCCATCTTACAAGACATGTATATATATATATATATATATATATATATATATATATATATATATATATATATATATATATTGTAGCGAAGCCTCCGAACTATGAAATGGGTCGAACTCTTGAGTACCTTCTAGTGGGGCTACCCAACAAGGACGCCGCTCGCGCTGAGAGCCCGTGCTTGGCCGTTACTGCGCCATTGTGCTTGCTCGCTGTGGGCCCGCTAATAAACGCCTTAACATTTTGGTGGAGAGTGCTGTGCCCTTGAAACATCTTCGGTTCACATTCGATGCCCTTGGAGCTTAGATCCCGTACCGTGCCTTCAACCATGCAACAAGACGCCGCCCAGCAGACGCTTCCTCCTGCGCCGACGCCATGTTCCGGTGTCCCCCGCATCCGCGACTCACCTGTCTTCACCGGCGCGGATGGCACCGACGTCGAGGACTGGCTCGCCATGTACGAACGCGTCAGCGTCCCCAATCATTGGGACGAGGCAGGTAAACTCGGCAACCTGGTTTTCTACCTCGCGGGTGTGGCCGGCATGTGGTATAACAACCACGCGTCTGATTTCGCAACCTGGTCCGATTTTAAGACCGCTACGGACCACCCCAAGAGCTTCTCAGCGATCGAGGCCGTGTCTTCTTGTCGGAAGTCGTCGAAGCCATTCTGACGGAGTGCCATTCTGTCCACCGCAAAACTACTGCTTACCACCCACAGACGAATGGCCTCACCGAACTCTTTAACCGCACCCTCGGCGACATGCTTTCTATGTACGTCGCTGCCAACCACACTAATTGGGATAATATACTGCCCTTCGTCACCTACGCCTACAACACCGCCCCTCAGAGCACGACTGGTTTTTTACCTTTCTACTTGCTGTACGGAAGGCACCCGTCGCACACCATGGACACGGTACTCCCGTACACGCCGAATCCATCTGAGTGTACACCTATTTCCGAGACAGCCAGGCTTGCTGAAGAGTGTCGCGAGCTTGCCAAGACTTTTACGACGCAAGAGCAAGAGCGGCAGAAGAGTATCCGTGATGGCTCCACCACTTCTGAGCCCACGTTCCTTCCTGGTGCGCTTGTATGGCTCTCGATCCCGACCTCTGCCGCTGGCCTCTCTTCCAAACTACGTCCCAAATACGAAGGCCCCTACCGTGTCATCGAGCGCACCTCACCCGTCAACTATCTGATCGAACCCGTTGAACAATCTTCGGACATGCGCCGCCGTGGGCGAGACATCGTCAACGTGGAGCGCCTGAAGGCTTATTATGACCCGCTCATAATAACAAGCTGTTAGGTTGCCAGGCGGCTCCCTCTTCGACCCCGGGGTAATTGTAGCGAAGCCTCCGAACTATGAAATGGGTCGAACTCTTGAGTACCTTCTAGTGGGGCTACCCAACAAGGACGCCGCTCGCGCTGAGAGCCCGTGCTTGGCCGTTACTGTCGCCATTGTGCTTGCTCGCTGTGGGCCCGCTAATAAACGCCTTAACAATATATATATATATATATATATATATATATATATATATACATATTTATATATATATATATATATATATATGACGTTGGTAGAGGCAGAGGAAGAAGAAGTGCTTTAGAATAAAGATGGGGTATGAGCAAGCCACGTCCCCATTCATCGTGGCGTCACACGAGTCGGCGGGATGCAGACCTGCCAGCCTCTTCATCAGTCGCACATCATCGACAAGGTTCTCCGCAAGACACGCTGACCACACATTAAATACCGTACGAGCGCCTAGCATTGCGCATCGACCAGCATCATGACAGAACCATCGACTGACCTTCCCATCCCCAAGTACATTGGAGCAGTGGACGATGGACCTGTTCAGGACTGGTTCGACCTGTTCGAGCTCCACGCTACCATTTGAATCATGGTCGGAACGGGAAATGATCACCAACTTCATTGACTACATCTCCAGTGACGCATTTAAGTTTTACCTGACACACATATTCGAAAACGACGAATTATGGCAAAAGATCAAAGAAGAGATGATTGCCCGTTTTAACGACTACGACAAGCACTTCCTCATTACCGACCATCTGCATACAACCAAACTCGGCCGTCACAGTCCACGCTTATTTCTCAAGGAACGTAGCTTTCCACCGGGTTTTTCTTCACGAAAGCCGGCATTGTCAAAGTCGTCACTCCAGCACACGACACGAGACGTTGCTTACCCACCTCATGCACTTCATTTTTTGTCTCGCATACGTGGTCCACCACCCGGTTTTTCATCACGCGGCTCTTCAAGCCCTCCTGACGCTCACCGTTTGCCTCATAAAGACAACATGTTCACGACACACCGAGAAAATACCCAGTCGAGCCATGCTCCTTCCGCACGGGTTCATGCATCACCGTGCGGTGCATGCACACTGGACAGTCGAAGCAACACCGAAGGCTCAGACGCATCGAACGTCACGCGCTGCCATGCGCAAGAGCCTCTCGTAGTGAACAGTGTACAAAAAGCTTCTGAAGAACTTTCTATCAACTCCTAAGCATCATCTTCATTGCCTGAACAGCAAGACAACAGCTCACAGACTACCAGCTGCCGACTGGAGACCCCATCAGGTTGTCTTGAAAACCAGCGCGATGTTCAAGAAGAGCTGCCAGCGCAATACGGTCCACAGCAACGTCAGCAACGCCAGCAAAAGCAAGTCCGTGAATCGCAGACACTCCAACGGACACATCAACAAGGACGACGACGCAAAGCAAGCCTCTTAAAACAAATTCAAGAAGCAAGGCAACATTGCATAAGGGATCGGCACCAGAAACGCATTTGCACAAAATGTCAAGACTGTGCCTAAGATTACAGCTCCGAAAACTCAGGAAACACCGAAGAAGACCAGAAGTCACCAGTTTTACCACGCAAAGATTCAGACACCATTCCATTAGTTTACGACAACGGAGCAAACGCCACAGAAAACTACGAAAGAGACTGAACGTTATAATTTGTACAACGCAAGAACATAGACATAATGCCTTGAACTTCAGTTCTTGTACACGCAGGCTGCAAGCACTAATTCTGTCTCAGCCGCTACACAGAATAGAGCGCGTACGACCGAGGATTTGGCGCCTACGACATTCGACCTTCAAGTGCTCCAAGGGCTTCCAACCTTGTTCATTCCTCGCAGCTGCTGAAGTCATGTCATGATCAGTGCAGTTTAGCAGGACGCGGTTACCTTCTCCAGAACACCACAGCCAACCTCACCCACCAGAACTCCCCTATTTACCGGACTGCTGCACTTTTTTCTGAAGTTTTGCGAGTTTACGGAACACCACTGGGACATGAAAGCAATTGTACATTTGACATTCGCGACTTCTCAACCTTGCCTTGTTTACTTTTTCTTGTTCGTAATCCATGCCTTCTTTCGGGGGGAGGGGGAATCATGTGACGTATGAAGCGATGGTTGGTAGACGCAGAGGAAGAAGTGCTTTAGAATACACATGGGGTATGAGCCAGGCCACGTCGCCCATTCATCGTAGCGTCACACACACACACCACACACACACACACACACACACACACACATACACACATATATATATATATATATATATATATATATATATATATATATATATATGCAATAAACGAAAAAGCCAAAAAAAGACTCCGGTGCGCGGAATAACAAACGTGGAGCTTATCAAGCGTGAGTGCGAGGCGTTAACAGAACCAGATTCAAATAGCAGGCTATTTCTATCTTCCACTTAGCGCTGGTGACGGGCGTCTCGGGGGCAACTATCGTGTTTCCAGCTTTAACAGCGAGATTACCAATTAAGAATGACATATGTTCACAACTGCCGTGACAATGCGCTTCGTGCGGCTGCACACCGCTGTTCCGAGAAATACGTTTGTTAGGACGAAGCAGCGAAACGTTAGCAAGTGAGGTACTTGAGGCTTATTACATACAAAAGAAGAGGAACGAATGCGTCAGTGTTCTGTCGATTACATTGTACAGGAAGCAATAATTGGTTCTAGATAGCGCTGTGCGATAGACTTCTGTTTGGGTTTTCTTGCGTGTAACGTGACAGTCACTTGTGCTGAGTCCTCCTCCCCTTTGTGCGCATTCTGGAAGCATATAGGTTTGGATGAGGGGAGGAAAATAAATAAGTTGAAAATCAGGCGCCCTATCCTGCCTCCTTTTTTGCTTTGCTAGTATCAGTTGCGCCACAAATATTTTATTTGAAAAATACAACTGACCCACTTCTACAGTTAGCACAAGATTGTCAAACTGGGCCGAAAGATAGCATAGAATACTGTGACTTGATTGTAAATGAAAGTGCGAAGATCACCCATTCTTTGAGCTACAGCACCTGTGTTCACTTTTGTCACATGCATATCTGGTACAGTAAGTAGACACTAGAAGCATGAGACGCCATACACTAGAAGCAGGTGATGCGAATCTGCCCTGCGCGCATGAACTGAACCACGGCTAACGCTATCATTTATTCTTTGCTCGCAGAAATATTCAACCGATAGATCAGCCATTCGCGGGGCGGAATCGCCGCCAGGTGAAGTGGTACTGGACTGCCGCCGTCTCCAGGATCAGCTACGCGACAGCACTCCAGCGCTGCTCAAGGAATTCGCCGACGACGGCTATGCGCCACGGAACCGCATGATCGGCTGGTCGTGTGCCTTTCTCGTGGTCAGTGGATTCCTGCTCATAAGTGGAGGTGTTATGCTGACACTCTCTCTCATAGTTGAGTCGGAGTCCAACAGCTTGGCTGGTTACTACGATGTGCCCACTACTCAGCTTGGCGCCGGACTTTTGGGTGTGGCTGCCGTGTTCTTCTTGCTGGCCATCATTAAGGTTTTCTGGCACCGCCACTTGTAATCACCTCCTTTTCAATGGACTCGAAGCTAGTAAAATACGAAGTTCCACGCAACTCATCAAGCTTTGCCTTTTTAGGTCTGTTTACACGCTGCTTGCACCAAGGTTGATGTTTCTTATAGCACGAGCAAAAAAATAATTGTCAAGCTTTCTGCGACTGACAAGATGACGCCTGAACAACTTCGGAAAACAAAAAGTAACATTAGTTGAAGGCTCAGCAACACAAATCTCCCAAACCTGAAGAGTTATATCACCACTTTTCTCTAACACAAGCCTCGAAAACCACGATACTCTACTCCACAGCAAAATAAAAACCTCAGCCAACGATCACAAGACCAGGCAACAAAACAAATGGTGCAGCAAACCCATCACAAAGACGCCCAATGCACGAATTATGATGAAGTGTGTGAGAACAATAACAATAAACTATTGCTTATGTGTATCTGTTCTGTTGTGAGTGTTTTTTTTCCTATGAAAGAAAGAATCATTTTGCCCTGTTGGCCTCCAAGGATCCAAGCAACGAAAGTACATGGAATGTCGAAATAGGTGGCGGTGGCTAGACAAGGGTTTGTCCTTCAAGAAGGACATATTTGTTTAGCGTTTTCATTCTGTTTTTATTGTCATCTCGCTCATTGTGAAGCTTGTGCTAAATGTTTTGCAAATATAGCTGTAATACTATGTGCATAGTGTTTTTTCACTGTTTGCTGCGTCGCCAAAGAGGTATTACCTTTCGGGAAAGGAAACCAAAAGCGCAGTCACGAAATGTCAGACTTCGTGCCATTCTCTCCGCGCCTGAGATACTAAACATTGGACATTCTTTGTGGCGACGCGGTATTTTCAAGCTTATCGCCGATAGCTAATATAGTGCACAGAGCATTTCTTCCTTCTGCATTCTTTGAAGAAACCTGGGTCTCTGAGCACCTGTATGGCTTTTCAAAAATGAAAGCTTGGACCATTTGGGGCAGCAAAGGCGAATGGGCGCAGTGAGATACAGCCTGCTTTTACAAATAGCGTATTATAAACTGATACAACACTAAACTAACACGCCAAGTCTCGATACCGAGCTGCTATATCTTACTGCTGATCGCGCACCTGTCATCCACTTGTAGGTACCAAACACAAGCTCATAAAGTAAATAGCAGCTATGAATTGACGAGGACGGGGTAACGTCCTCATAAATTCATGGTCACGCTTAAATTTAGGAATGCATTGCACCAACAAGGCCAACAAGGCACCCTTAACAAACACAAGCTTTCTCTGAAACTCTAAATGCAGATGTTGCAACGCCTACCTGCATACGTTGATGTAAAATAAGATCGTTTACACATTTCTAGTGAGCAACAAAATAGAAAAGATGTTTATTTTTCTTTTTTAATATTTGACACAGAGACATAGCATATATGTTTTTGCAGATTTTTTTCTCGAACATACAACAGAGCGGAGTTTCGAAGAAAGAAAAATAAACGAATGTCAAGCCCTATATGGCTTTTTTCAACGATACGTATTTACGTTCTTGCAGCATTGCAGAGAAAATAAAACGTTTACTAAAGTCTACGTACCGAAAAGAACATCAGTATACGGTTACTTTTCAATCGGTGCTTTCGTAACATGTGGTTTTTTTCCTTTATTTCTCAAAACGTTGGTTCTTTGTATGTACCAGAAGCTAAAGAATGCATTTTTTCTTGTACTCAACGCCATAACATCCCATTTCTGCTACAGTTCTGCAATCATCATCATCATCATCAGTCTTACTAGGTTCACTGCACGACAAAGGCCTCTTCTATGTTCTGCCAGTCAGCTCAGTCCTGGGCTTTCTGCTGCCACTTTATACCCACAAACTTCCTAATCCAATCCACCTACCTAACTTTATAACTCTCCCTTATTCGTTTTCCTACTCTGGGAATCCAATCAGTTCGCCTTGATGACCAGCAGTTATCCTGCCTACGTGTTATGGGTCCAGCTCATGTCCATTTATTTTTCTCGTTTTTAGCTACAATAGCCTTAACCCCAGTTCGTTCCCTGTTCCATTGTACTCTCTTTTTGTCTCTTGAGGTTACCATATCAACTTTCTTTTGCATCTCTCACTGCGTCATCTTCAATTTAAGCTGAACCCTCTTTGCAAGCCTCCAGTTTTTTGCTGCGTGGAAGCACCGGCAAGATGAAGCTGTTATATACCTTCTCCTGGAGGAATAGTGTCAATCTGCCAGTCATAACTTGAGAGTGTTTGCCAAACGTGCTTCATCCCATTCCTAGTTTTCTAGTTGCGCTCGTGCTTCGGTTTTGTGGTTACCACGTCTCCTAAATAGACATACCCATGTACAAGCTGTCCTATTGCGATATTTTTGTATATTACGTTAAATTTCTGCAGTATATTTTTACCTTTCTGATCTCCTTGTCTAATTCAGCAATCATCAATTTCAATACAGTCCCTACGAAAGCGCAGACTGCTAAAATACTCTCCATTAACCATTATCGCTAACGCCTCTCGTTCTAGATCTCTCAAAACCTCCTGTAAAGACGAGGTTAATAGCATTAAAGAGCTTTATATCTCGTTGTCTTACGCCATTCTTTGTGGGTATTGTGTCACTTTTTATGGAGAGCTATGGAGGCAGTTGAGCCTGTGTAGATTTTTCCCGGAGGTTATATATATGCTTCGTCGACGTCCTGCAATACCACAAAGTAGCAGAAAAAAGGACCCGACACGACATAGGAACCTCAAATCAATGAAACTTGTGGCACCACTCAGAATTCAGATGTTCACATAAACCAACTTAGACAGGATAAGTATTTCTACCCCACAGCATACAGAGATACTTGTTCGTGGTGCGAGACCACCTCAACTCTGTTTTATGTCACGTGGAAGTGTGCACTGTACAATGAAGACAATTACTACATGAACAACATAGGGGGACAATGGGAGGCGCTGCTGTTAAGCCCGGCTTTTGAGGATCAGCTTTGACTATTCCGAAAAGCAGAGATGAGGATAAGGGTAAGATGGATCTTGGAAGAATGGAGATTCCCCACTTTGTGGAGAAATAAAATTTTGTCGTCTCTGTCTCGATCCACTTTTCACAGTGTACATATGTCATGCCTACACAAACAGATACTACTAGTCCAACAAAGGTAGAGAAAATGCTGTCCTAAAATGTACTCAAATGTACATATTTTAGGGAAATGACAGTGCACACTTACGCCAATTTATTATGTTAATTGCAGCTCATTTCCATTACTGCCAAGCGTATATATACTTTGCGCTTTTCGTTAAATTTTTCTGTGCTGTTTCAGCTCCAGGCCACCCAATTATAGTGCATTAAACAGCGATTCGCGAGGTTGCCCTTCAAACACGTTATGTTTTCAGGACCTTTTAGTAAAGAAGCTGGGAATAACGCACACTTATATGACGCATGCTCCTGCACAGCACAGCCATTCATCCTACTCGCGTCAGTAACTCTCTATATTTGCATTTATGAGAGGGTGGCGGCCAGGCACGGCCTGGCCGCCATTCCGTTGTAATTTTTTCACTTAATAAACTTGTTTCTCTCTCTCTCTCTCTGCATATATGGCCTATTTATCTTGCACAATTTTAAACGTTCATACAGAGGAGCTACTTATGTTATCTAAATCAATCATGATGAGTCTAAATACGAGGGCTGCCGACTCAAAGACCCTCCTATTTTTCGCTATATAACCCGGTGTTGTTCTCGATGCGGCCCCGTTATCCCGTAATCTTCCGAGCTAACTTTCTGCCTCCCCTTCGCATGCTTGCCCTCTCTCGTTATACAGACTGTACAGCAGTTACCTTGACTTCAATTTGCATGTCTTGCCGACCCCCATTTCTTCTTGATTTCGACTGAGATATTCATAGCCCCCCTTTATTCCCTGTCCCACTCTGTTCTAGTTTTGTTGAAAATGGATACAATTCTCTTTATTAAGTGAGAATCATTTTTTAGCTAATTTCGATGACTTCTATCTATCTATCTATCTATCTATCTATCTATCTATCTATCTATCTATCTATCTATCTAACTATCTATCTATCTATGTGCCTATGACTTTGTGCTCTCAAGACCGTATCATTAATGGGATATATACCCAAAATGGTATGGCATAACGTGGCTATATGACGAACAAGATCGAGTTGTCCTATCATGAAAATGGTGATTAACTTGTCATCAACGGTGTGGTTTACCAGCCATGCCTGTGGTGCTTCTGCGCTCTATTCCCTAACTTGATATATTCAAAAAGTAGTAATATGAGACATTTCTCCACAAGCAGCCTAAATGATGGTAACATGTTGGTTTTAAAACATATGATGTGCAAGTCATGCACAGCATATTTGTATGCTATCGAAACTTTTATGAGGCAATTTTCACACTCATGGCTAGCTCGCGGCTCTTCTGCAGCTTCATAAACACGAAATTTGGTTTTGCATGACGTGACTTTACGACTAGCATAAATTCAAGTGGTAATATGAAAATGATGACATGTCAAATGGATCATGACTTGCATGGTATTCCCATGGCACAATCGCAGCTGTTTCTCTGGCTTGATATTTTCATGAGATGGAGAGTATAACAGGACTGAATAAACTTCAAGAACTACAATTACAAAATATGCAGTGAGAGGTGTACACAGCTACAGCCTAGAGGGCAGAACAGAAAAACTACAGGCGCTATTTCAACCGTCGTCTTCATCGCCTTTCTGGTGCATTCTTGTTCTTGCCGTGCAGCGTATAACCCCTGCTGCCGGTAGCGTCGTCTCGACGCTTACGAAAGAATAAAATAAAGTGCAGAGAAGTATGGTTTTAAACGAGAGACGTGCACGATGTCAGTAGCGAGGCCGACGACAAAGAATGGCAGTCCAACGGAGTTACCTTATTACTACCTCGATGATCTGGCGCAACTCCTCCTGCGGCCCAGAGTAGCGAGAGAACAGCTTTGTTGTGAGGCCAACGTGGCAGCCCATTTGAGGCCCTCCGAAGCAGAAAGACAATCCCAAGTAGCCTGGCAGTCCACCTAGGCTGGCCTTTGCATCGTGGGCGTACTTTTTCAGAGTGCACTTGGCTGGCGGCACAAGGGTTTTTAAGGCTACCGCAGGATGATGGTCATACTTGAGATAGAAAAGGGAAAGCCAGCGGCTTCGTGGCGTGAGGAATTTTACGCGAATATTTCATAAGGCGAAGTGGTGCTCCAGCGTGCTATGCAGGGTGATTCGAGCTTCCTGGGCTGACGAGTTTGCTCCGAGCTTGCTCTACGGTAGCCAGGGAATCAGGAGTGTCTGGTGCACATTATAGCAGCGTTGATAAAATGGGTACAAGAACGCTCGTGGGCATAGAAACACGTGTTGGGCTTTTGCGATGGTTATTAAGGAAACACCGCATGCTTGCGTACATGCCAGTGCCACCAGCCAGGGAACAATTCAGCCGTGCAGCACTGTCAATTT